GTAGAGCAGTAGAGTTATTTGGATAGGGACTATAATGTTGCCATTGTTATTCTAAAGACCAACATAAAGCTGTTATTGTTTCTTATTGCAACATGTGTAGCCATTCTCTTGTCATTTTTATAGGTTATTTTATTTATCTGATAATTCAAGTAAATTTATTTTTCAGTTAGCTGGCAAATGCTTGGAACTATAATCATCATGTAGAACAATGCTAAGATTTATATGCTATATGAAAACAAAAGGCTATGAATCAGAAAAATAATGATAAGAAAGTTTATATATTCCTAATGAAAAATGTGGTGGTTGAAAAAGTCACAAAGTAATTTGAAATTTATAAAAATGTATCTTTTGTGATTTTTTAGGATTAACAAAGATAAAAATTTTATCTGGATATTTTTTATCTATTACCTGATAGTAAATGTAATTTTCTCTAAAGAAATTAATGTCTTTGGAATGGAGGTGACTGCAATGTATTTTATGAAGGAAAGTATAGTAGTTTATAAATAAATATTTGGTGGATGATATTCAAAGTATCTAAGCAGATAAAAATTGGTTCAGTAAATTTTATATGTGGGATAGTTATAACTTAATCAACTTTTAGTCTTATTGAGTGAAAATAAATATCAACTCTTTTACATTAGTAGGCCTGAGATAAATATTTATATCTGGAGACAAAAACATAAAATAAAAAGATTTTGCAGCTTACTGCCCTTGGTATTTTTTTTTTCCTCCTAAAGTAGAGCCACAGGAAGAGGTGAGCCAAAAATTTTAGTATCTGATTTCCATGAGGTAGATTTTTTCATAGGTATTAATAATATCATGTGAACTGTCTGAACCTGGGGATATGTAAAGAACTACCACCAAAGTTCCTATGTTCCCTATTTTTTTCTTTCTTTACCTTTAAACTCTCAGTGCCAAAATTAGTTGAAATATGATTACATTATTTAGTAGGTTTAGAAAAAAGGTAACTTTTTTAAGTTCTTTGCAGCCTTGATAAAGGAAATGTGACAAATATATACAAGAGAAATATCAATTAACCAAAACCTTATTTGGGGTCCATGGAAGTAATATTAGTTTGAGTTATTGTGAAAATAATTTATCTTTTCAGATTATATTAGATTTTCATAAAGTATCTCTTTAACTTTTATAATTTATACTTTTTGCTTCATTCCCAATGATTTGTATATAGTATTATTCAGACTAAAATCATTTCTTATCATTATTAAGGGCAATGACTTTGTGCATTGACTTTACTTATTGAATTGGAAGCCTATTTTCAAATTCACTAGAAAAAGTTTTCATTTGGTGGTTTGTTTCAAATTGTGTAAGTTGTACACTTTATTTTCAATAAGCACTCATTCCAATTCCAAGAATAATAGTTTAACTTGTTAAAAACAAAACATTAGGCAAATTAAATTAAGCAGAGTTTATTTTAACAAAGAATGATTCATGGATCAGGCAGCACGCTGAACAAATAGAAGTTCAGAGAGCTTCTCCCAGCAACATGTGCTGATAGTATTAATAGACAGAGAAAGGAAGGTATGTACAGAAATAACTTTATTGGTTTCAGCTTGGCATTTGCCCTATTTGGATATGGTGTGAATGAGGACTTTGCCTTATATGTTCATGGTTTGATCAGTTGGCATCCTGTGATTAGCTGAGACCCAATTATTTGTCACATAAATATACTTGTAAGTTAGGTTGCAGTTTGCTTACATACTAAGTTAGGCCAAATTTAATTATCTCCTTTTGGTCAGCTCTCAATTTTGAGAGATTAACCAAAATCTTGGACACTGATGCTACTTTCTGTCACATCATAATGGACTTGTTTGGTCTCAGTATGGAATTCGCAATTCACAACATCAAGTCAGTTGGATGTTTCTTTACATTCTCTTTCTGTTTTTATTAGTTTAATCACAGTGAGAACATTGGATATATGACAGATGGCTACATATGATTATTTAAAACTTTTGAGAGGATATGGCATATGAGGGAGACTATTACTATGGCTATCAGGAGGATAATACTAAAAATGTGAAGTATACTCCTTAATAGGAGCCTCCATGAATTGAACCAGTCAAAATCAAATATATCAACAATGAGCCAAAAGAGGAATCTACTTGTTTTAATCAAGTAGCTTGTTTGTTGATTTATGATAACTGTGTTTCTGCTGTATCAGACATATCATCCATGCACAGCAGGAATTGTACATACTTCCCCCTCCTCAGCCAACAGATAGTCCAAAGCAATTATGTTCTCTAAAACAACTTTAGCAAGAGAACTTAAAGAATGGGCAACTATAGCCTTTGAAATAGATTCAGCTATAGTAACTGTTTGAGACAGATTTCTTTTTTAAATGTTAATTATTTTTTAAATTTTCAGAATACTATGAGGGTACAAACATTTCAGTTACTTATAACGCCTGAACCTTGCCCGCACCAGAGCTACAAGTGTGCCCTTCCCCCATACAATGCCCTCTGCATCCTTTTGATGTTATAACCTTATTTATATTTATGTCAAGCCAGGGAAGGAGTATTCCACCAAAAGATGCCTGTTTAGAGGTACTTACACCTGTTGACAAATTTCTCTTTATTTCATAGTATAAATTAAGAGGTGTAGACCAATATTCAGTCTCCAATTTGTTGTAGAGTGACAACAGTACTGTTAGAATCTGTAATCCACATTGTCCCCTTATTTTGCACTTATTGAGACGTGAAGTTGCTCACATATGTGGTTGGTTGTTAGATGCTGTACAGATAAAAATATATCCTAGAGGGACATAGCAGATGGTTCTCTACCTGTGATTTAGAGATCACCAGTAGAGAAGCACTAGTAATATTTGTTTAAGGTTCCATTGTTGAATCCTTGCATGATTGAAGGATTTCAACAATTAAGGGATCAGGGTTACAAATTTGTCTACAAACTATTGAATTATCTTTCTTTTGGTTTTCTTATTTAATTTCTGGCACAATTTAACTGCAAAACCCTCATCATAGGTTTTTTCTACTGTTAGATTTAAACAAGGAATCTGAATATGTAAATCTATAAACCTAACTGTATATAAAAGACCAGAGATTACACTTGGAATATCAGAGAAATTTATTATAAGGTGAACCAGAGAATCTCTAAGATCATGTAGGGATTTACTTTAACATGACATATCCAACATTCAGTTACATCCCCTGTGGAAGCTATCAATTATGAAATCATAATTATTGCATTTTCTTGCCATGTATAAACAGAAAAGAGACACAGGGAAAAGAGGAAAGGGAGCAAAGGTTTCATGATGACAAAGGAGAAAATAATGATCTGTGATCTTGGGGTAGCTTTTTACATCTATGATGTCATCTGCTTTTGAGGAGAAACCTCTTTGGTCAGTTTTACCTTGAGGTCTCCAATGAATGTGCAGTCCCTAGAGTCTGGAGGAGTCCTTTTAATTTGAGAGATGTGGATCCAAAGCTCAGGCTCAAGGTCCTGAAGTTTTGCTGCAGAGATGAACTTGGTGTGGTCCCATCCAACAGAATTCAAGGGTAGTCTTTCTCTGATGTTTTTTACAGAGACCCAATCTCCAGGTGCTAGATCATGAAAAGTCTGGTTGTCATCAGTTGGTGGGTCACAATGTACTTCTTTTACCCAGTGAAAATATACTTTGTCATATGCATTAAAGTCTTGCAGTATTGAATTTATAAGAGCAAGAGATACATGAGCTTCTATTTTAGGGGCATAGGCCTTACAGCAACTATTTTATAAGGGGTCTGTTTATGTTTTTCAGTGGGAGTGTATCTGATTGTCATTAATTGGTAGTACTTTTGACCAAGGCAATCCAGTCAGCTTTGCATAATGCCATTTTGTGTGTAAACCTTATTTAACTATTTTATAACTTGTCCATTGAAATGAGTATCTCTGCTGCTAGAGATTTCTCCAGGAATGCTCCAAAAGAGAGCATTCTCTTTCTCCCTCTCCCTCTTTCTCTCTCTAATTCTCTCTCTCTCTCATCCTCCCTCCCTTCCCTCCTCTCTCCTTTCCCCCAGTGATGCACTATCATTCCCAAAGGGGAGCATTTTCTAATAACCTTTTAGCAACTATTTTTGTGTCAGCCACCCTGCATTGGAAAGCTTCATACAACCAGAAAATATGCATTGATGTTAGTAATTGAATGAAATCCATCTGTAAGTGTTCAAATGATCTAGCACGTGCCAGAAATGTATCACCTGAGGTTTTCAATTGTCTTACCAGAATTATGGGTTTGACAAACCAATATTGATTATAAACTACTTTAGAAATTTTAGAATAGTCATTTCATCAACTTTTTCAATAATTTGTATCATTTTAACTACTCCATGATAAGTCACGGGCACAAAGATTTTAATAATGGAAGCTTTGAGGACTCAGGAGTGACCAGGTGGCCATCTAGGCTCTCCATAAGTCCATGCTTAATATTGGATTTACATACACTGAAATACCATTTTTTTTTTGTAAATTCAGGTACATATCACTGTTTACTAATTAGGTTATCACAAGTACTGTGACTTAGATAAATCTATGGAATTCATTGAAATTGCATATCTTAACTATTTCAGTACTGGTTAACTTAGCATGAAAATCTGCCAAAGCATTTCCTTGGTATTCAATTAACTCTTGTTCTGCTTGATGTTGAATTTTGTATGGACATGGTCTGATTAGTTGGCAGCCTGTGATTGGCTGAAGCTTAGTTGCTATGATTGGCTGAGATTTAGCTGTTACAATAATACACTTGTAAGTTCAGTTGCAGTTTGTTTACATACTAAGATAAGTTGTAGTTCACTACATGCAGAGGCAGTTTTAGGCCAAATTTAATTTAATTTAACAAACTAAATGAGAGGATTATAATTCAGTAGAATTGGATTTGGAGTTAGGAATTTGTATTTTAAATTTCACCAGGGGATTTAAACATACACTAAAGCTTAAGAATCATTGCAGTACAGAGGAAAAATAACATACTTTATCTTTTAATTTTCTAGTCTGTCAAAAACTACACCAAATGTCATGTGAGAAATGAACAGATTTGTAACAAACTTACCAGTTGTAAAAGCTGTTCACTAAACTTGAATTGCCAGTGGGACCAGAGACAACAAGAATGCCAGGCTTTACCAGGTAAAGATTTCAAAATTTGGTAACTGAGTTTTATAGTCTACAGATGGATACTGTTATACTACAGTGCATTTAATAAAAACATTATATTTTCTAAAGTTAAAGTAATAGTAAATATCAAACTATAATATTGTTGTAATAATAGCATTGTTTCTATAAGAAAAGTTTTATAATTATATATTTGCTTCCGATTATTTTAAGATATTTATGTTTACTTTTTCATTTAAAAAAATCTTAAAATTGTAGACAATAATAAGTCCTCAGACTTAATTTCCAGATTTATGAAATATCAACATTTTGTCATATTTGATTTGTTTTTAAGTGACCTTTATTGTTCAAATTCAGTGAATAATTTGTACTGTTTTTATTATAAATTATAGTATTTATTCATATATATATGTATATAAAATATTTTTTAATCAGCTTTTTTTGGCCTCATGGAAAAAAATAAAGAGACCAGCAAAAATAATCTAAATCCTTCCTTGATTCAGTGAAGTGAAAAAGAACATAATTTAACAAAACTTTTGCATGGTAAGGAAAAGTAGTGATTTGGTACTTTGGATTCAAGAAGATTGGGCAGACTGCTATATATTTGGCATCAAAATGAAAACCAGGGCATCCTAAATAATCTTATTAAATGAAATTACAGTTTACTAAGGGATTACTGTGTTCCAAACTCTGTGAGTTATTCATGGTACCCAATTTAATCCTTAGAATAGTAACCATCAAAGAACGGGAGTTCCCAATATCTTTTCAGGGAGTCCATGAAGTCAAGACTAATAATATTAAGATGTCATTTGCTTTTGTAATCCTCATTCTATTATGGGTTACCATGGAGTTTTCCAGAGGCTACCTGTTTTATGCTATTCCAGTAGTTTGAATGTAGAAGCTGATAGAGAATAGAGTTGTCATAAGCCTGATATTAAAGACATTTGCAAAAATGTAATACAATGCCACTCAACTTACTATTTTTTAAATTTGGAAACTATACTCTTTTAAAAAATAAAATATTCTATTTAAGTTGTAATGTTTCTCCATGAACATTTTATTACCAAAAATTTCAAACATGTAGAAAAATAGAAAGAATTGTAGAGAGGACATAATACCCACACCCTAAATTCTATAGTTAACATTTTGCTCTATCTACTTGTCCATCCCCTGTTCATTCATTAATCTATCTTATTTTTTTTATACCAGAGCCTAATTTGAACTGCCAGATGCTTTCCCTTGGGAAGGGAATTTGAGGTTACATCTCCTTTGGGCCTGTTTATATAGCATAAAGGGGAAAGACATCCCAGCTGCTGGAGGAGTGCACTTGTGGGGTTCTAAATTATTATTTCATGTGCTGTTGAATTTGGTTTGTTAAGATTTTGTTGAGAATTTTTGCCTCTATATTCATGAGGACTATTGGTCTGTAGTATTCTTTTTTTGTTGTGTCATTTCCTGGCTTTGGGATCAAGGTGATATTGGCTTTGTAGAATGAGTTGGGGAGGATACCATCCTTCTCAATGTTGTAGAATAATTTCTGTGGTGTAGGTATGAGTTCTTTGTAAATTTGGTGCAATGCAGGTGTGAACCCATCTGGTCTGGGACTTTATTTTTTGTTGGAAGATTTTTAATTGCTGCTTCAATTTCTGTTCTTGATATTGGTCTGTTCAGGAATTCTATTTCATCCTGATTGAGCCTAGGAAGGTTGTGTTTTTCTAAGTACTTGTCTACTTCCTCCATGTTTTGTAGTTTTGGGGCACATAGATTTTTATAGTATTTTAAAATTTTGTATTTCTGTGATGTCTGTAGTGACTTCTCCTTTTTCATTTCTAATTGAGTTTATTAGAGAGCTTTCCTTTCTAGTTCTTGTCAGTCTAGTAAGAGGGCTGTCAATTTTGTTTATCTTTTCAAAAAATAAACTTTTGGTCTTATTAATCTTCTGTATAGTTCTTTTGTTCTTGATTTCATTTAATTCTGCTCTGATCTTTTTATTCTGCTTAGTTTAGAATTGATTTTCTCTTCATTTTCTAGTTCTTTGAGACTGTTTATTAACTTGTTGATTTGTGAGCTTTCTGTCTTGTGGATGTGGGCATTTAATGCTATTAGTTTTCCTCTCAAGAATGCTTTTGCTGTATTCCACAGATTTTGATAACTTCTGTCCTATTATCATTTAGTTTGAAGAATTTTTTGATTTCCATCTGGATCTCCTCCTTGACCCAATAGTCACTCAGCAATAGATTGTTTAATTTCCATGACGTTGTGAAGTGGTGAGTGTTTATCTCTAATTTTATTCCACTGTGGTCTGAGAAGATACATAGTATAATCTCTATTTTTTTAAATTGTTGAGATATGATTTGTAGCATAGGATGTGATCAATTTTAAAGAAAATTCCATGAGCTGATGAGAAGAATGTATACTGGGGTTTATTTAGGTAGAATGTTCTGTAGATGTCTATAAGACCCATTTGTTCTAGAGCTCTGTTTAAGTCCATTTCTTTGCTTATTTTCTGCTTAGAGGATCTGTTGAGTTCAATCAGTAGTGTGTTGAAATTCTCAGCTTCTATGGCATTACTGTTTGTCATGTTATTTAGATCAAACAGGGTTTGCTTTACATATCTAGGTGCTTCTGTGTTGGGTACATCCAGGTGGGCTTTATCCTAGAGATGCAAGGATGGTTCAACTTACATAAATCTGTAAATTATATACACTACATAAATAAAAGCAAGAACAAAGACTATATAATTCTCTCAATAGGTGCAGAAAAAGCATTTGACAAAATCCAGTATATTTTTGTGATAAAAACTCTTAACAAAATAGACATAGATGGGTCATACCTTAAAGTTATTAAAGCCATATACGATAAATTCACAGATAATATCATACTGAATGTGGAAAAATTGAAAGCATTCTTGCTCATAACTGGAACCAGAAAAGGTTGCCCACTATCTCCACTTCTATTCAGTATAGTGCTAGAAGTCCCTGCAGAGCAATCAGACAAGAAAGGGGAATTAAGGGTGTCCAAATGGGGGCAAAAGAGGTCAAACTCTCACTGATTGCTGATGATATGATATTATACCTAGAAAATCCCAAGGATTCAACCAAGAGACTCCTGGATTTGATAAATGAATTCAGTAAAGTCTCAGGATACAAAATCAATCCACACAAATCAGTGGCATTCATATACCTAATAACAGTCAAGCTGAAAATCAATGACACAGCATCTTTCACAATATCATCAAAGAAAATTAAATATTTAGAAATATATTTAACAAAGGATGTGAGAGACCCATATAGGAAGAAGTACAAAACACTGAGAAAAGAAATTGTAAAAGATGTAAACAGATATAAACCCTATTATGCCCATGGATTGGCAGAATCAATGTTGTTAAAATGTCCATACTACCTAAAGTGATCTACAGAATTAATGCGATCCCTATCAAAATACCATCAGCATATTTTACAGATATAGAAAACCTAATTCTATGCTTCATATGGAACCAGATAAGACCTTGTATAGCCAAAGACATCTTAAGCAAAAAGAACAAATTGGGAGGTATCAGTGTACTAGACTTCAAGCTTTACTACAAGACTATAGTAACTAGAACAGCATCATATTGGCACAAGAATGGAGATATAGACCTTTGGAACAGGACTGAGAACCCAGATATAGAACCATCCTCATATTGTCATCTAATATTTGACAAAGAAAACAAAGTAAAGACTGGGGAAAGAATCACTACTCAATAAATGGTGCTGGGAAAACTGGATTACCACAGGCAGAAGATTGAAACAGGATGCCCACCTCTCACCTCTCACAAAAATCAACTGAAGATGTATAATAGACTTAAACCTAAGGTGTGAAACCTTAAGAATTCTAGAAGAAAATATTGGGAAAACTCTTATGGACATTGGCTTAGGGAAAGAATTTATGAAGAAGACCTCCAAAGCAATCAACACAGCAACAAAAATAAATAAATGGGAGTATATCAAATTAAAAAGCTTCTGCACAGCCAAAGAAACTATCATTAGAGCAACTAGACAATCTATTGAATGGGAAAAATATTTGCATGCTACACATCCAATAAAGGGCTGATAATAAGAATCTATAAGAAAATTAACAAGAAAAAATCAACCCCATCAAAAAGTGAGCAATGAGATACCATCTAACACCAGTGAGAATGGCTTGTATCAAGAAATCCCAAAACAACAAATGCTGGCAAGGATGTGGAGAGACAGGAACACTCCTACACTGCTGGTGGGACTGAAAATTAGTACAACCTCTGTGGAAAAGAATATGGAGACACCTCAAATAGCTAGATACAGAAATACCATTCGACCTAGCAATAGCATTGTTGGGCATCTACCTGAAAGAGCATAAGACATTCTACTATAAAGACATCTGCACCCGAATGTTTATGGCAGCACAATTCACTATTGCAAGATCATGGAAACAACCCAAGTGTCTGTCAATTCACGAGTGGATAACTAAAATTTGGTATATGCTCACAATGGAATACTATTCAATTCTAAGAAATGACACTGAATTAGCACCATTTATGGTATCCTGCATTAAGCTTAAACCCGTTATCCAAAGTGAGGTGACACAAGATCAAGAAAACGGGCTACACATCTACTCACCATCAAATTGGTACTGACTAATTAAAACTATGATGCTCAAATGGGGATAGTGCCCACTAGGGTTTGGGGGAGGGGGAGATACACATCTTAGGGTTGTGGTGAGCATAATCGGGGGGGAGAGGGAATATATCTAAACCTTCTAAGGGAAAGGCTAAGATATACAATGTAACCCAAAGGTCAAAAAAAGGGAAAAAAACAAACAAACTTTTATCGGGTGGTGGGCAAATGGGAGGGGGAAGGAGGGGAAGAATTTACACCTACAAAATAGGTGTGATAAGCACCACCTGAGAGTAGGACATGCTTGATGTTTTGGTAAGGTGGGGGTGGCATGGGGAGGAATGGCAGGGGCAATATATGTAACCCTAACAATATTTGTACCCCCATAATATGAAAAAATAAAAAATTAAAAAAAAAGTGAGCCAAGGATATGAACCGAAACTTTTCAAAAGAAGACAGAATGGCCAGCAAACATATAAAGAAGTGCCCAACATATTTAATCATTAGGTAAATGCAAATCAAAACCACAATGATATATCTGTAACTCCAGTGAGAATGGCCTTTATCAAAAAGTTCCCAAAATAACAAATGCTGACAGGGAAGTGAAGACATAAGGATACTCTTAGACTGCTGGTGGGACTGCAAATTAGTACAACCCTTATGGAAAGTAATTTGGAGATATCTCAAAGAACTAAAAATAGAGCTACCAGTTGATTTAGCAATCCTACTACTAGGCATCTACCCAAAAGAAAAAAAAAACATTCTATAATAAAGACATCTTAACTCAAATGTGTATGGCAGTACAATTCACAATTGCTAAGATGTGGAAACAACCCAAGTGCCCATCAATATATGAGTGGATTAATAAAATGCAGTATATGTGTACCATGGAATACTACTCTGCCATAAAAAACAATGGTGAAATAGCACCTCTTGTATTAGATCTGGAGCTTATCTTTAAAAGTGAAGTATCTCAAGAATGGAAAAACAAACACCACATATTCTTGCCATTAAATTGGTGCTAACTGATCAACACTGAGGTGCTCATATGGAATTAATATTCACTGGGTGCTTGTTAGGTGGGAGGGGGTCATGGGGGCACGTAAACTCACAACTAAAGGGTATGACACACACTATGGGGGGAAGGACACACTTGTAGCTCTGGCTTGGACGATGCGTAGTCATTATATGTAACCAAAATGTTTGTGCTCCCACAACATTCTGAAATTGAAAAAAATTTTTTTTAAATTATTATTTTAAAGAATAAATATTTTTTAAAATTATTAGTTTTAATTTTAATATGGTCCAAATCAATAGATATAACACACACAAAGAGTAGTTCTGTGGGGCCCTCAATAATTTTTAAGTGTTAAAGACCAAAAACTTGAGAACTACTGCTTTAGAACAATTTTATAAGGATTGCAGTAATGCATTTAAGACCTTTCATAAAGAAGAGGCATTAATATATTTGATGTGATATAGAGACTAAATGTATTCTAAGTTTATAGATCAATGTGTTAATGAAACATTGTATCATTAATTAGTACACATTAGAGCTTAATTAATATATTTATAAACCTGTATTTTAGAAAATAGGCAGTGTTTAAAGTTTAATTTGGACTCTGTGGATAAACTGCTCTTACTAAATAGTATGTTTAACCTCTAGAAAGGCACCTGAGTAGTTGTGTAAAAATAAACATTACAAAGGTAAGATTATAGCTTCTTTACTGATCATAAGTGAAATGAGACTTCTTTACCTATGCTTACAATTAAAAATCAAACAACCCAACTGATACCAAAACAATATACCTGAACTATGGAAATTACATTTGGAGGTTAGTTATTTTAAAGGAATAATTTTGAAATTGCTTTTGTTATGTACTGGTTGTTTTTCTATTAAAGTGGCATTGTCTTTTGTAAACTAGACCTTGAGACATGAATATAATAATGGTTTTACTTATTGAGATTCCATATGCCAATATAGTTGACTATACAGAAAACCTAGTAGTCAACACATTTTAACAGATGTCTTAGAGCCATAGCTCATATTTAATAAGTAAGGAAAATTAGGATCTTTTGTTTTCATTCTCCACCAAACTGTTGACAAATTTTGTTTAGAATACTATATTTAAATATTTAAATAGTTTTATTTTTAGAAATAATTTAAATATGGAAGTTATATTTAGAATTCTGAAATAATTAAAAAGTACATTTGGTTTTTTGTAATCTAACAATGGATATAATTTTTTTTTTTGCTAGCTCACCTTTGTGGAGAAGGATGGAATCATATTGGGGATGCTTGTCTTAGAATCAATTCCAGTAGAGAAAGCTATGACAACGCAAAACTTTATTGCTACAATCTTAGTGGAAATCTTGCTTCACTAACAACCTCAAAAGAAGTAGAATTTGTTCTGGATGAGATACAGAAGTATACACAACAGGTAACGTCTATACTTATTAATATTATGGAAATATGCTATGATAATCTCTTAATTCTTAGGAATGATTCATTCTTTCTGTTTTTTTTTTATTATATTACTCTTACTAATCTTGGAAATAAAAGTGGAACTGATTTTGCAAGTAAATTGGCAGAGGAACTCATTCTGTATGTGTACTTGATAATAAAGTTTTATACATTACTATGTTGTGTTTTTCCCAGTAAATTACAGCATTACTTTACCATGAAGTCATCTCATATGAATAAATACTCTAAGAAATGTGTATATACCCCTAACCTAACCCTAACCCTAACCCTTTGGTTCTTTGATGTAGGCATTTATTGCTATAAGCTTGCCTCTTAATACTGCATTTTCTGTGTCCCTTAGGTTTTAGTATGTTGTGTTTCTATTTTCATTTGTTTCATGGAACTTTAAAATTTTATTCTTAATTTCTTCTTTCACCCATTGCTACTTTAGGAATATGTTGTTTCATTTTCATGTATTTGTATCATTTTGAATGTTTCTTTAGTTTTTAATGTCTAGTTTATTCCATTGTGGTCAGATAAGATACTTAGGATCATTACTATTTTTGATAGTTTTTTGAGACTTGTTTTGTCTCCTAACATATCAAACATTTTGGAAAATGTTTTTTTGGGCTGATATCAAGAATGTTTATTTTGTAGCTGTTGGTTGAAATGTTCTGTAAGTGCCTATTAGGTCCATTTCTTCTAAAGTTTAGTTGAAGTCCAGTGTTTCTGTGTTAATTTGCTTTCTAGATGTTTTGCCCAATGCTGAGAGTGTGGTGCTGAAACACCCACCTATTATTGTATTGGGGTTTATCTCTCCCTTTCTACTAATATTTGCTTTACACATCTGGGTGCTCCAGTGTTAGGTGCATATATATTTACAATTGTTATATTCTATTATTGAATTATTCTTTTATTTTTATATAATGTCCTTCATTGTCTCTTTTTAGAATTTTTTTTTTTTTTGAGATAAGGTCTCCCTCTGTTACCCAGGTAGAGTGCAATGGCATCATCATAGCTAACTGCAGCCTCTAACTCCTGAGCTCAAGCGATTCTCCTGCTTCAGCCTCCTGAGTAGCTGGAACTACAGGCACATGCCACCATGTCTGGCTAATTTTTTATTTAAAAAATTTTTTGTATAGATGGGGTATTTCCATGTTGCCTAGGCTGGTTTCAAATTCCTGGCACATACCCAGTCTACTGGCCTGGGGAAATATCAGTTGCTTGGAGGCTCTAGGGCCTTTCCTGCTTAGGGGAGGCTATGTAGTGGTTTGGCTGGTTCAATAGCAGGCTCACCCTCAGTAGGACTACCAGACTGTTCCTCCAGCTGGATTATGGTGACAGGGATTGGTTTCCTGCTATGTAGGACCAGAGTCACAGCCAATCCTGGACCCAGGCTCTGTGCAGTTGCAGTTGTGGCATTAGCCACTCATCATGGCTTGATGGAATGAAGATGGAGCAGAGAGTGCTGGACAGGTGTAGTGGCTACTGGCCCTCATAGAAGGGAGCATTCCAAAGGTGGGTCTGGGCACAGATGATGCCATGCTAGACCAGCTTGGATCATAGGGTGTGGGTGGAATGTGGGAAGTGAACTCTTTGTGCTTCTAATTCAGGGTCATCCAGGGCAATGCAGCTGTGTGAATTCCTGAAAGCTCTCCAAACTGGGCTCAGGGCTTGCGAGGACTGTGGGATTCTCCTGTAGGAAGGACTGTAGATGTTTGTGGTGGCAATGGAGGCTGGTGGTGATCTTCTGCTTACTTTTGCCCCACAACAGAAAGTCCCTCTTAACTGTAGACAGATTAGATCCATGTGGGAGTCATTGGGCTGCAGAGGTCTGATGCCTCCATTCTTCTTTCTTGGACTTCCAGTCACCTTAGGAGAATTTCCAAACCCCTACTGCAATCTAATGTTCTCCCTTTGACACTCCCCTTAAATCTTAGTTATTTATTTGTTGCCTTGGTCCTTTCTTGTGGAAGGGATGAGTGCCAGGCATCTCTAGTCAGCCATATTGCTGGCATCACTCCTAAAATTTTGGTATGGACATTCAGTTCATTGTCATTTCCAACCCTAATTTTTGTGATGTAATGTATTAGTGTGTATATTTCTCATGAGTATCAATAATGGATAATTCTAATTTCTAATTCCAGTTTTTGTCTGTAGAGCCAAATCCCTCTCCCCCATTAGTAAAATTGATGAATAAATTATATTCTCTGGCTTTTATGAATATTTGAATAATTTGAAGTGGTTATTCCAATATGGCACTTGTTGGCCTTATAACAGATTTCTTCTATGCTTGGGATTAATTGACAGGGTAAAGAAAAATACTATAATTAAATTTGTATGAAAAATTGATATATAAAACAATTTTTTTGTGAACTGTAGGTCTTTTTCTGTGAAGGATAGAACAGTATTTATTAATTTAGTACACATATATTGAGCACGTACATGTATATGTGAATACATATATATTGAGCAAGGCAATCTACTGGTTATGAGAATTACAAAGATCAAAAGAGGATCACTGTTCTCAAAGAGATTAGTGGAAGGAAAGACAAACACAATTATACTGAAGTGTGGTAATTGCAATGACAGATACTCACAGAGTGGAATATATGGATAGAAAATGGGTATCTAACCAGTAATGTGGACTTAAGGAATGTTTCCTAGAGGGATGCCTTAGCTATATTTTCATGGACTTGGAGTTGGCCAGCACATGAAGATATTTGTAAGGAGGCTAGAGAAATGCTCACATTGTTTTCTTTAACCTGTCTGTATGAGAGCTACCAGCTTCATGGCTAGAGCAGGTGTCCTCAAATTATGGCCCGTGGGCCACTTGCGGGTGTTTTTGCCATTTATTTTCTTACATCAAAATAAGATATGTGCGGTGTGCATAGGAATTTGTTCATAGTTTTTTTAAAACTATAGTCCAGCTCTCCAGTGGTCTGAGGGACAGTGAACTGGTCCACTGTTTAAAAAGTTTGAGGACCCCTGGGCTAGAGGATAAGATATCTGTGATGACATGTAGGAGAGACCTATTACTTTTATAATGTTTTAGAGAAATGTCACAAGGTATATGTATAAGATTTTATTTTTAGTGTGTGGAATATACAACATCAAATAAGATCTGCTTATATTATTGTGATGCCAGAAGCTTTATTTCTTTAACTACAAAAAATGAGAAATAATTACCAATGAACATGTGAAAGTTAGTTCTACTGAATAGCTATCACTTATGAAGAGCTTATTATTGGCAGATCCAAATTCTCTGAGTTTTATAAGTACTAGTGTTTGGCATTAGAGTTCTCTTGCTTTCTTCCTTGTTTAAAACCTACTATTTTTAATTCTTACAGTATAAACTTGAAATGTACTTTTTCAGATATTGCCTCTTTCAAGATTCTTTGTATTGCTCATTCCCTCTTGCATATTATTATTAATATAAATAATGATTGGACTAACAATTATTTTAGATGTGTTAAGAACTTAGACTTGATAGTTTGCTTACTAGCATGCCCTATAAATGAAGAATGTTTTGTTTTATCAGAAAGCTAAGCTTTAGCAAGATTTCAAAGGTGGAAACTTCTGCAAGGTGACATTCCATTAAGCATATCTTTATATAAAATGAATTATATCCTGAGTCACTGCAGTTGTATAAACTTAAGATAACCCTTCTTGGGCAAATAAAAATCGACAAATTCATGCACTTTAAAGAGATATCTTGGGTCAAATGATCATTTACTTATCGGAATGGCTAATGAAATGTTACAATGATTTATGGAGTGCTGTAGTAAATTTTCATAATGTAGTAATTTATCTTTCATAAGATAATGAACTGCCTGTCCAGGTCATTTACTGAGTAATAGTTACTTTAAGTGTTTTATCAGCAGCTTCATTTTTCTGTTTTTCTCCTCTTCCTCTCAGATTCTTATCATGATGAATTAGGGAGTAATATTTCATTTTAAATGACTTGTCTTTACTATAGATAGTTCCAGAATAGAGCAGAATTGCTGTAATGTGAAACACAGTTGTTACTCTGAAATGCCTATGTTGTACTGATTCCTGCTGTTATTATCAAGACCTATAAAATGTTATAGCTTTGTTGTTATAAAAATATTTTTCAGAATAATATATGTAACATATGATGGTCACAATTTTAAGCAGCATGTGTATTTTTATAATTAGAAACATTATTAAGCACCATCTCTGTTTCAGGCTTTCTTCTGGTTGGTGGAAAATAACCATCTTTAGTTCAATAAACTTTGTTTAGCAAAATTTATTGATTGCTTGCTATGTGTACAGTACTCAATGAAAATTCATAAGATATTTTAATTTATTCAAGAAATATTTGTTGAGTGCTTACTGTGTGATGTTCATTGTATTTATACACTTTAGAAATTTCTATGTGTATGGCTATCTTTTTTAAGCTCTGTAGGACCATTTGTACAATATTATTAGAGTAAATACTAGATGTAAATATCTTATTTCCATGTTGTAAAAGACTAAGATGGAGAAATAATTTTCTCTACCTTGGCAGTCCATAATATAAAAGAAAGAATGATGTGCAGTTTTTAAAATCATTTTTATTATAATATTAGTAGCTTAGCATCTTAGAAAATATATTATCACATATATTAAAATACAGGTGTTTGTAATCTAATATAATTTTGTAAAGATATTAACTTAGATCAAGAACATATTACTGTTTTTTGATGTCATCAGATAACATTATTTAAAGTTGACTAATGATTAAAATAAGGTATATCAATATGGAATAGATTTTGATTTCAAGCTAATTTGAAAACATTAATGAGAACATTAAGAATAGTTATGTGCCATTTGTCAACCTCTGTTAGTTAAATTTTAGGCACAAGAGTCAGATTTTATTAGTTTTCTTGATCTATTTATTATTGAAATTATATGACATTAACTTTTCTAAAATTCCAAAGAAGTCCAAATGTAGCAGAAGTATGAACTAGAAGAGAGGCAGTTGTTATTCTCTCAGTGCTTTTGCAGTCTTGTTATGAAGTCTTCACTCAGACTCTATATATTGTTGGTTGATTTTTTTTTTTGAGACAGAGTCTCACTTTATTGCCTAGGCTAGAGTGAGTGCCGTGGTGTCAGCCTATCTCACAGCAACCTCAATCTCCTGGGCTCAAGCAATTCTACTGCCTCAGCTTCCCGAGTAGCTGGGACTACAGGCCTGCGCCACCATGCCTGGCTAATTTTTTCTCTATATATTAGTTGGCCAATTAATTTCTTTCTGTTTATAGTAGAGACGGGGTCTTCACTCTTGCTCAGGCTGGTTTTGAACTCCTGACCTTTAGCAATCCGCCCACCTCGGCCTCCCAGAGTGCTAGGATTACACGCGTGAGCCACTGCGCCCGGCCTGTTGGTTGATTTTGTTTTATATTTTCACACAATGCAGACAATGGCAATTTATCTTTAGATTTTTAACCTGATAACTGATTAGACTGACAGTAGTAATAAGTAATAGTAGCACCAGCAGCAATAGCAATATGTTAAGTTTTTTAGTGATCTTGCCTCATAAAGTAGGTATTTATATCCCAATTCTCAAAGAGGAAACTGAGATTCACAAAGGCTAAACAAATAACCCCAATCATGTAGCTAAAGACTAAACCTTTGTTTTAAAAATAGTGCTCTAGTCTACATCATTCTCTAAAACATGTTATAATTGGTAATTATCCTTGATACTAAATGTCATTAGAAAGTTAGTTTTGTGTATTTTCAAATGTAACTTTTAATGATAATGTACTATTTGCTAAGGAATATGATATGAAATACTTTTATATCTAACTTTCTTTAAATGCCCCTTTTCCTCTTGTTTACAGAAAGTATCACCGTGGGTAGGCTTGCGCAAGATTAATATATCCTATTGGGGATGGGAAGACATGTCTCCTTTTACAAACACAACCCTACAGTGGCTTCCTGGTGAACCAAATGATTCTGGCTTCTGTGCATATTTAGAAAAGGCTACAGTGGCAGGCTTAAAAGCTAATCCTTGTACATCTATGGCAAATGGGCTTATCTGTGAAAAACCTGTTGGTAAGTAGTCTAGAAAATTAGCATTTCTTTAAAAATATGTTTCCAACCCTCTTCTCACTACCTCTTTCTAGGGTATAGTCTAATATTTATGTAAATTTTATTTTTATCCATACTCCCCATTTACTATTAGTGATCTCAGCATTAACTTGTAAAAATAGCACACTTTTGTTGTTTTACACAATCTTTATTTCTTAGTTGAAATGGTGAGATTATGAACATATGATTGTAGTTACAGGATAGCAACAATTTTCTTAATTCGCTAATGACTTTTACTTTTATCATAATAGTGTTTGAGAGAAAGATTTGTCTTTAAGATTAATTATTGAAGCTGATTTTAATTTTTTAGATCTATTATTTGAGTTGTTACATAAAAAGAAACATTTCTGCTACATCTTTTGAAATGGATTTTTGTTAGGTGAGAAAGGAATATTGAATTATTTTTCTATGAGCATTATATCTTTTAAAGTACTATTAGGCTCTGATTTTATTGTGGTAAACATAACATAAAATTTACCATGTTAGGTGTATAGTTCAGTGGCATTAAGTACATTCACACTGTTGTACAGCCATCACCACCATCTATCTCTAGAGCTTTCTTCATTTTGCAAAATTAAAACTGTACATATTAAACAATAACACCTCATTCCCTTTCCCCCAGTTCCTGGCAACTATCATTCATCTTTCCATTTCTATGAATATGACTACTCTATGTACCTTACATAGTAGAATAATATAGTATATGTCCTTTTGTGACTGGCTTATTTCCATAGTGTAAGGTATTCAAGGTTTATCCATGTTGTAGTATGTGTCAAAATTTCCTTCTTCTTTAAGGCTGAATAATATTCCATTGTATGTTTTTGTCATATTTTATCTATTTATGCATCAGTGGACACTTGGGTTGCTTCTGTCTTTTGGCTGCTATGAATGTGGGTATAACAAATATTTATTCAAATTCATGCTTTCATTTATTTGGGATACATAGCCAGAAGTGGAATTGCTAAATCATATAGTAATTCTGGCGTTTAATTTTTTGAGAAATCACCGTACTGTTTTCCTCAGAGGCACTACCATTTTACATTACTACCAGCCATGCACAAAGGTTCCAATGTCTCCACATCCTTTTCAACATTGATTGCCTTTTATTTTTAAATAATAGTCATCCTAATGGGTGTGATAAATATTGTATTTCATATAAATATTTTATGGTAAGTTGTATTGCATTGTTTGTTTATATCAGAGACATGTTCATGCATAGGACTTTTACTTTGATAATATGTGGAAGATTTGTGGAAAAAAATTGTGTCTGGGAAAGTAAACAATGCTAGTGAACATAGTATTCGGCTAATGGATAGAAAAACCAGGTCACAGATTATATTACTATTGATAATTTTTAAAATCATACAACTTTATACACTTTGTAACAAATTAAAATTTCAAGGGGCTTTAAAATTTTCAAATTTAATAACTTTGAAATGTTATGAAATTTAAAATAAAGATGACATGTATGACATGTCATCTTTATTTTCATTTACCTCAACATGTTGATGCCACACTTGGCTTAATTGAAACACTCCCTGAACAGCAAAGCAAACACATACACTTGCATTAAAATGAAGTTAACGAATGAAATAATAATATTTGTTGATTTATTCCAGTTAGTCCAAATCAAAATGCAAGGCCATGCAAAAAGCCATGCTCTCTAAGGACATCATGTTCCAACTGTACAAGCAACGGCATGGAGTGTATGTGGTGCAGCAGTACGAAACGATGTGTTGACTCTAATGCTTATATAATCTCTTTTCCATATGGACAGTGTCTAGAGTGGCAAACTGCCACCTGCTCTCGTAAGTATTTATCTAGAGTGACTTTTCATTTAACAGTGACATAAATCACTTTTCTGTAATGGAAAAAGGAATTAAACATTTGAGGAAGTTTCTAAAAGTGAAAAACAATATTGCTATAGCCAGTTTTAAAACCCATAAGTACTATAAACCTCTGTTTTATATTATATCATCATTTTGAATTCCACTAAGAATCTTGCCCTAAATATTAACAAATTGCCAAATTTGTGCTCTCCTTTCCCCTGAATGCTGAGCATATGTGCAGGCAGCAGAAAACTTCATGATAGTGTTCACTTCAAAGATCACATATTGCTTTTCTGGGTCTCTTTAGTGTCTTTTAATCTAGTACAGTTCCCATATCTTTTTCTTGTATGACTTTGATATTTTTAAAGAATCTATACCAGTTGTTCTGCAGGTATCTCCATTTGGATTTATCTGTTTCCTCCTGATTAGATTCAAGTAATCATTTTTTGGCAAGAATATCTTATTGTTGATATATCTGCTCTAAGTGTAGGATGCAGTCTTGGCATCACCTGGAGAGTCATGTCAGCAGGGTTGTACTGGACTTGCCATAGGTTGCATTTGAGGAGAAAGAGCTTGTCCCTTGCTGGTCTCATGTTTTGTAAGTACTGTAGGATGAGGATGAACCTAAATCTTTGATATTGCGTACTGTGTGGTGGTGAGTATCCTTGCTTGCAAAGACAACTTGCTTCAGAATGTAGCTGCCAAGGGAATTGCATAATGCTACTGATACCACTTTGTGGCTGTGTAGGAAGTTGAGACCATTTGAAATTCCTTCTGCTTGGGAGAAGGAAAAGGTACTGTTCTCAGCTAGCTTCTCATGAGCAGAGAATATGGCTTATCTTTCCACATTCCATTCTCTGACACTGAGGCTTGTCAAAAATACACCTTTTCATTAGAGACCTGAATTAATTGGCCCATTTATATTTGGAAAAAGAAAGTACAATGTCATTTACTCTTGCTGCTTCCATCACCTGCTTCTAAATGTTGAGTGCATTCATTCATGTCTCCCTCATTGGGGGCTATCTCTCTTGTGATTGATCCAGAATGTCTGGCTTTTTTTTTTTTTTTTTGGAATAACATGCTTTTCAGAGGCTCAAAAGTTACTATTCCACCACCACAGTTAGCTGTAGAATCACCTGAGATAAAGTTGGTGTCCAAGTCTATGTATACCTAGGATTCCTTGATTTGAATAAAATGAATTATCTGTTAACTTTTTTAAGTCCAAACAGAAACAGGTAAAATGTGATGTTTTGTTCTCCTTAAATTCCTCCCTTCTCAATACCTGAGCATCTAGGAAGTTCACCAGTGACCAGAAGTCCTTAGTTTTTTATTTTTATTTTTCTCCCAATACTGTAACCTGTAACAAGCAGGTTTTGAAATGAGTAAGTCTGATTTACATGTCAGTGTGTTTGTGCCAGGCCCCAAAGGAACTGCAGTTACAATTCAGTCAAAGGAGACAAAATAGCAATCATTTAGAGTCCAGCATCTATTAAAGTCCTGCATGTATTGTGGTTGAAAGGTGTTCAATCGGATAGGGGAAAGGACAGTTTCAATCTCTTAAGGAAATTCTCTCTTGGGGATCTTTATCCCAATTCTAATTCCTTTACTAATAATACTCCTAAGATTTCCACTATTATTATCTCTCCTCTTACCCCATCTTTGCAACTTTTTTGGGTTCATTCTAATTTTTTTATCTTTTACATCAGTCAGGCTTCCCTCTATTTCATTCTCTCCAGGAAGCAACCACTTGGAGCTTTCCTAGTTCGGTCCATAATACGGCTTGCTGCTGTAACTTTCCTAAGTATCTTCAGGACTTTGTTGTTGTTGTTGTTGTTGTTGTTTTAGGATATACAGAAGCAAAAATTGATTTCTCTGAGAAAGAAAAAGAGGGAGTGAAAGGGAGAGAGAGAGAGAGTGAGTGGCCACAGCATATGAAGGGAGGTCTTCAGGACTTCCTTATTAGACCGTTGGCTTTCTTGCAGTCCCTCTATAGAAGCAGCCCCTGGCAACATGACTCTGACATAGTACAAATAACTATTCCAACAGCAAAGTGTGTTATCTGCCCATCTACTCTTCCTTCCTTCCTTCTCTTTAGCTTTCTTTTTTTTCCTCTGAGAGGCAAGCTGTTCCAGTTAGCAACCAGTAACTTTATAATTCTGAGATCCCTACTGGTGGCGAATCTATTTTTTTTGAGGCCTATAAGTGTCCTACTTGCTACTGGAATCCAGTGATCCTGTTGCTATTTGTCCAGTTGCTATTTGTCCTCCTTGCTCAGATGAGTGGCCTCCCCATTTAGAGGTAACCAGTTTCTTAAGGCAATGCAGGTGGAGATTCACTGGCTTTTCCAGGCATTTCATCATTCCTAGGGAGGATGTCTTCCTCCCCTAGTGATCCAGTCAAACACATATTTGGTCCATAGTGGGCACCACTGTTGTTTAAAGAGCTGAGACAATGTAACTAGAAGTTCCAGGTTTAGCTATTGTGTGCATTTGTTCCTCTAGGCTCTTGGCAACGAGTGGAGATGTAGGCCTGGCATGGGTATGGCTGGATATATCACAGATTGAGATTCTTGTTGCTGTCCCTTTTTAGGGATAAGGAATGGGGGTGTACCTGACCAAGTGTGTTACAGTGAGTGGTTGCAGGCATAAAGTAGCCTTGTTAGCATAGCAAACATTTTGTAACTATGAGCCAGCTGCCAAGGCGAATTGATTAGCAGAGGTAGAGACTTGTGTGGAGTTGAGACAATGCTCAGCTTCTCCTGCCTCAATAGTCATGTTTGTTATTCAGTGAAAAAACCCAGACACAAAAGGTTACATACGGTTTTGCTCCATTTAGATAAAGTTTGAAAATAGGCAAAACTACACTATATTGTTTAGGAATGCATATTTAGGTGGTAATGCTACAGAGTTAAGCAGAAAGTTATTCTCATAAATGTCAGAAAGTGAATACTGGTGGGAAGTTTAGGGGTACTGGTTAGGAAACAGTACAAGGTGGGGCAATGCTTCACTTCTCAGCTATATGTAAGTCAGAGTGTTAATTTACAATAATTTATTAATCTCATATTTTTCTTTATGTAATTCTCTGTATATGTGTTATATTTCACAATAAAAAGGCTAAAAAGTAGTAAAAAAGAGGTTTCTGAAAGTCTCCAAGCCCTTATACTCTTAAGAACTTTCTAAAAATTATTTACAATTAAATCTAAGTTATCTTCTCTGCTCATAAATCTTTCTTATATCTAATTTCTTCCTTCTCATTTGGGTTTTTTTGTGGTAAAATTCATAAAGCATAAAATTTACCATCTTAATCATTGGAGAATAATCTTTAGTAATTATTTCCAAATGAATTTGTGGCTTGTAAACTTTTGAGTCTTTGAATGTCTAAAAGTTTACTTTTCATTTTCACTTGAATGAATGGCTGAGTATGGACTTCTAAATAATTTTTTCTTTGGAAGAACTTTAGCCTTCATTGTTGTGGATGAGAATTCTAATGCCAATCTAATTTTCATTCCTTTGTGGAACATTTTTCTTTCCCTTACTTTGGGAGCTTTTAAGACTTTTTTCTTTATTGTTGACATTCTAAAATTTTACAATTTGTTTTAAATTCAGTTTTCAGTTATCGACATGGATTTTTCAAATGAAAAGTGTTTTAGATTTTTTCATTGCAGAAAAGAATTCTCACTGGCTCTTTCAATCTGAAGAGTAGTTTGTTTCTTTACCTGCTAAAAATGTTCTTGAATGTCTTACAAAATATGCTTTCTTCTCTTTACTCTTTTTTTAAAGATTTTTAAAATCTTAAAATGATTGCAGGAACTTCTAGATATATATCAGTATCTCTTAACTACACTTGCACTTTCCTTATTGTTATGTGCTAATATTCAGATACTTTCCCTTTTTATGATCCTTTAATTGGGGCTTTTTATTTATTTGAAGTGAATTTTTTGAGAACAGTGTAATTACACTATAAAAGTTGTAACTGAATTTGTTGAGAAGATAATTGAAACATATATAGCTATTTAAATGCAGGTATGAATGCATTTTTACCACTGAGAAATAAAGTAATTATAACTAAATACCACTGGTGGGTTTGTCAGTGAAGCATGCATACGCCAGCTCTTTAGTTCTGCTTTGTGTGTCTCTTGTTTTTGATCTTTTGCTTCTTTTGTTTTATTGATTGTTGTAGAGGCTTTACTGTCTAATTCTATAATTTTCCCTTGGGCAGATAGTCTACTTTGCTATTTTTTCTTTTCCATAGGTCATTTCTTTTTCTGTTCTATCTGTTGTCATACTTGCCTCTCCTGTGGCTATATGTAGATCATTTGTGTTGATGATGTCCAACACTCCTATAACAGTTATTGTAGTTCCACAGCTTTTTTATTATATGCCCTGTGCATCATTGTGGGGAAGAAGGGCAAAGTACATTGTCTCAAGAAGACCTTGTTATTTTTGGAAGTAGTAGGTACCACCTGACAGTGATCCACTATTTGTGAAAAACAAACTCCTTCTCCATTATGTTTAATTTTTTTCCATGTTTTTAATCAGCAAACATTTATTGAGTAGTGAAGAAATGCCAGGAAATAAAATAGGGACTAGGGGTGAAGATAACATTCTTGCTCAAATCTAAATGTTAAAAGTAGCTAAGTGTTAATCTTTTAAAGGTGTCAGCTTCTTGGCAAAGGTTTTGCTATGCTGTTGCCTTTAACTTTATATCTTTTTTGAATTAATTATATGTAATAGATTTACATTGCCAGTTGCTATAACATGTGTCTAGTTACTCATTTAACATTTGGCAGTTGTAAGTCTTTAAAAACATTTTATAGTTTTATTGATTACTAAAAGACATTTTATAATTATCAATAAAACTTTGTATTAGAAAAGGCCTAAGTTTTATGTTGCTTTCTGAACGTTGTCTCAATGATCATTTGAGGTTTACTGGTAAATAGAAATTAAGGGAATCTTTTCTTTGGAAATGAGAAACAAATATAGATTTGCAATATTCTCCAATATTTCCCAGTTATAATGTTATATTAATGTTTAAAATTCACAAATTACAGAGAAGAAATATATTTTAAGACAATTTTGCCTAATGGTTTCCAAGAAAGCTTTGTTAATAACTGGCATTATTAATAATTGATAGAATTTAAGTAGTTAGATATCCTATTTGTGAAAATGAATTCCAAGGGCATTATTTAAAGCAATAATAGAAGATTTAGTTCTTAATATATAAAAGTTCAAATGAAAATGCAGTTGATATGATAAAAATGGAAAAATAAACTTGAGGATATGGTATCTCACAAATCTACATTTCTTTCATTATTTTATATACTCAATGTAAGCACTGTTCTTTTCTTGGCAATGAAGGAAGCCAATAATTTTAAAAATTGGATGACTGTTTCTTAAAGATTATTTTTTAAATTTGTATACATTTCAAAAACTATATTGAATATTCTATAACTTGATCTTTCTAAAAGCCAAAAATAGATAAAATAAAATAAAAAGATTTATTATAATTACCCATATAATTATTATAATTACCCATAGACATGGTCTCTATGCCATTTATAACTTTAGTAACAATAGTACAGCCTATATAAGCTTTCCTGTAATATAGTTTTCTATAAGAAAAAGAAGAAAAATTAGAATCTATCAGTTTTTGAGTCACTATTAAAAACTAAAGAATGAATTTTCTGTTAATATTTTAGCAATGGATGTTGCTTTCTACTCTTGAGCAAAAACAAAACCACCATTACCTTATTACCTTATTTAATAGTGGCCTCATATAGTTTTGAAGACAATTGGATTAATCTAGTTAAAAATACTGTGGTTAACTACAATCATAGATAGATGAGAAATACTTCAAACCAAGAAAACTAAGGAGGGGTATGGTAATGTAGGACATTTTCAGTTATCTAAGCATCTTTTAAATGAAGTGTTCCAAGATAGGATCCTTTAAAAAAAAGAAAAAAAAATAAATGAAGTGTTATTTACCACTGTGTACTGTTAAAAATGTAAATTTCCAAAGGAAGATTAGTCATGTCAATGAATTATTTATGCCATTCTTGTTTGCAGTATTCTGAGGAACATTTCTGTTTCCAATAGTATGAAAACACTGAGTGGTAGCTAAGTTATTAACACCACACAATGAAATTGAGTCTGCCAGAAATATACCATTTTTTACCTTTGTTTTTTTTAAATCATGTGACTAGAAGACATCCTCCATGGTGCTTTGCATGTCTGTATCGTCTATGAATAAACAATTTCCAAGACAAAGTGTGCCATTCGTAGCAAAACATCAGTAAAAGTAATTATGTAAAGTCTTAGCCCAATGTAGGATGATCTGATTGTGAATTAAAAATTTAAAACATCATATAGCAATGGCTATGGATATGATGTCTGGCTGTAATATTATAATATCTGTTCATTCTTGGCTGACATTACAGTATTCATAGACTTTGTTGAGTTTCATAGGTTATAGCTCAATCAAAAAAAAAGAAAGAGAAAAAAGGAAAGGAAAAAGGGTTCAATTTCAGCAAGTGAGTCTTGGAGCAATATTTTAAAGCCCTGAAAATGGGCTGCTAGTGTCTGCCTGAAGCAGAGTAGCAAGTTTTCATGTTCCTACTCAGCTTGGTTCTTTGGATGAAATTGAGTTTTCTCCTCACATAATAGCCACATCCTAGTATCTTAGACCCTTGGGAAGCACATTGTCAAGGACAGGCAGTCCAAATGCAGCCCAGCAATCTCAGAGAATGGGCAGGTATCACTTACACTGGATGTCCATGTGCAGAGCACAGAGTTTTTGATTGATGGCCCTTACTAGGCACAAAAAGAATGGCTAATATAGCTCTGCATCACAAACTATCATAAAGGTGGTCTGTAGGTTCTTAGATAAACTCCCCAAAAGTACTAGCAAAATTCTCAGGAGTCTTTAAGTGCTAACTTCATTTTTCCTCATGTCATGGTTACCACACCTTTTTTCACTGCTAAGTCAGTTCATTTATCTTCTCTTTGTTCATGATGTATGTTTGATTTGTTTTAAGTTAACTGCTGTCTCTTAGGTATTAATTGCAAAAATGTTTACATTAACTATAGATGACCTTTTACTACCTTTTTCATGATCATATTTATTTTTCCATTAGCCTACAATTCTGATTGGATATAAGATCATGTAACATATTTGTTAAATGTTCCTTTATGCAGCTCAAAATTGTTCTGGATTGAGAACCTGTGGACAGTGTTTAGAGCAGCCTGGATGTGGTTGGTGCAATGATCCTAGTAATACTGGAAGAGGACACTGTATTGAAGGATCTTCACGGGGACCAATGAAGCTTGTTGGAATGCACAACAACGAAATGGTTCTTGACACTAATCTTTGCCCCAAAGAAAAGAACTATGAGTGGTCCTTTATCCAGTGTCCAGGTAATAAAAATGTGATGAAAACAATTTCAGTTTCTGCTTGAGTGAACCAAGAATGATTTTTCTTTTATTATAATAAAGATTTAGAAAAGAAAAATAATGAAAATGAGATTCACATTTCAAAGATAAAAAATATTCTTCTCAAGACTGTATCCATTTCTGTTGTATAGGTGGTATTCTGTTTAGAATCATTAAATAGGGTAAGCACATTCATGGAATATAATGATTAGATTTGGTTTTCTGTGTACTGTTGAGAGGAAAAAATGTTGGCTTTATACCAGTTTTCTACCCTCTAGCAAACACCATAATTTTTATTGTTCATAAGATTATAATATCTTAGAATTCTCAACTAATTCATAGTATCCAGTCAAACGTCATGCTAAGTATAGGAATGTTCTATATAAAATCTATGATGGATTCATCTGGATTCATTTTGGAGTTGCTGTTGATATTAATTACCATTCAGTTTTGAATATCATTTAATTTTTCAGGGATTTTCTTTGTAGGAAGTCTGTACTTCTGAATAAAATCAACCTCATTGAAAAGTTAAATTATTCAAATGTTTTTATTTAGTACCTGGCATGTACCAAGGAGTGTTTTGGGTGCTAGAGACACATGATTAACAAATTAGACTAAAATTACTGTATTCATGGAGCTTATGTTCTAATTGAAATTAATAAATTAATTATATACATATCTGAAGTTAGATGGTGATAAGTGCTATTAAATAAGTAAAGGAATAAAGAGGGATTGGCTGCTTGCTATTTAAAATAAGTAACAATAAACACCTGACATAGATGAGGAACTGAATCATGGGAGATATCTGGTAAAGAGTGTTCTAGAAGAAGTAACAACCTGACACAAGGATTCAGATAAAGTATTAATAATTTATTTGGGAGGTGATGCTAGGAGGCATAAGTGAGAGAATCAAAAGAATTTCAAAGAGAAGAGAGAAAAAATCAATAATATGTGCGTTATTAAGCTAGCTATCATACTGGGAAATTTGGACTCAGACTCACTTGGAACCTGTGAAGAACCATGTAGAATGTTCGTCAGAGTTATCCCACTGAGGGACTAGGATGCTGGGGCATTTTTTGTGATGCCCTTGGGGGAATTAATTTCCTTGTGCTTATGATCTGTACCAGCAAATCTGATCAGTAGTTTTCCCTGGCACCAGTGAAAACCCCGAGGCAGAAAAGTAGAATAGAGCGATACTGCAGAACATACTTTAGATGAAACACTGACAATGTGCAGCACTGAGACAAGATGAACTGAGGTAATATGGCATGGGGTGCAACAATACCTGCTACTAAACTACGAAATATATGAGAAGCAATAAAAAGGAACAAACTATTGATTCATGCAACACCATGCCTGAATCTTAAATGTACTTTGTGTAGTGGAGGAGCCAGAACCAAAGGCTAAATGTTGTGTTATTTCATGCACAAGACAACCTGAATCAGACAAAGCTATGAGAATGGGAAAAAAAATCAATTATTTGTCAAAAGTAGGGGTACAGATTGATTTCAAGGTGGCATTACAATGGAATTTTGAGGGTATGCAACTGTCTCTATGATACTGAGGTAGTTGATATATAAATAAGCATTTGTCAAAATCTAGACTATGTACTATAAAGAATGAACTTTACTCTTTTAAAAATTTAAAAACCAGTCTACCAGGATGTTAGGGGAATCCCAGGATGAAATGCAAATTATAACAAATGAATCTAACTGTATTACAAATGCCATAATCTCACCTAACTACCTAAATAAATAGATTAAAATAAAAGACAAATAAAAAAAAAGAGGAATTGACTTAAGTAGCTTTGGAAAACAGTGTTTTGACTGGTTGCTTTAAGGCTAAAGAAACAAAAAATTGTGTATAAGGAGTGAATTCTGGTTGGTAAAATTTTCTGGGTACATTTTCATAATTCTAACAATATTTTGTATGTATACTAGATCTGAGCAAATAAGTAAGTTGTATTTAATGGGAGACATGTTTCCCATCGTCAGAGAAAGAAGTTAAAAATAAACAAGGGGTGAAGGCTACAGTGAACCTTGTGGAGCTGAGTAAGAGTCTGAGATAATAGCATGAATTTATTTTTATTTTAATACAGTTAGCCCTCCCTTTCCAGGGTTCTGCATCCACAGATTCAACCAAACATGGATTGAAAATACAGCATTCAAGGGATGTGAGAAACATGGATATGGAGGGCCAACTCTTGCATCTGGAGGTTCTGCAGATACAAAGACTTTCAGGACTTGAGTATCCTTAGATTCTGATATCCATGGGGTGTCCTGGAACCAATCCCCTGTGGGTACAGAGGAATGACTGTATATATACACAGAAGTAAATACAGATACATGTGTATACATGGGTTAATATACACACATATATTATTTCCTAGCTCTGCCAAGGAGGCCTAAAAGCCATGACATTGTTTAGCAATGAACATATCCAATGCACAGATCCTGGTTTCTAAATATCATTCTCCAATGATAGGAATTCAGTTTCTCTGGAGGAATGATGGACTTCTAGGAAGGCCAGGGAGGATACAAGATGAGTCTGAAGCATTTTGTAGTGCTAGAAAATAAGAAGTGCTTAAAGAAAAAAAAAAAAAGAGAGAGAGAGAAGGATGGAGTGGTTCCAAAGGGACATGGAGCCAAACTGAAAGCGCTCTCAATGAATCAAATCTAGGCAACAAAATAAATAATGATTGTATCGATTATAACCCAAAGAAGAAAGACGTATCTGCTTCTATACCGATTAAATGATTAAGTAAATAATAACTGGGTGAGAATGTATGAATCTTCCTTATTGAAAAATTCCAAATAAGAAATATAAAGGGAATGTGGGAAAAAATTATCTTTAGAACAGCAGAGTAATAATTGCTATAGTAATAATTCTTTTAAGAATGCTAAAATTAGTGGGTGAATTTTTAAGGAGAAAACAGGACATTTGCATAGCTTCAAAGTATCTTCTTCAAAAACATTCATTACTGTGGTGGTTTTAACATATGTTCACAAACTCTCTTTTTTCATTTCTTTCCTGAGTTTAGTCAATTCTTTTTTCATTTCTTTCTTTTTTGTTTCCATTTCTAGTCTTAATATTTAAATTTCTGATTTAAGGTGGTTTTTTAAGTACCCAAATGCTGGTTTGACTATATTTAATTCTGTTTGGAAAAGCTGTTTTGCAATCTTCTGCTTCATGGTTGTATTTTGCAGGGGAATTTTTAATTAAGGTGTGTTGAATCTGGTTATTTGTTTTTCTCAATAATAACTCTGTATGACTTATAATTTTTCCCATTTTTGTAGCATTGACATAGTTTATAAGATTTCTAGTTTTATGGTACTCCTTCTGTCAGAGTAACAACATTTTGGTGGTGGAGGTAAGGATCATGTGTCCTCTGAATTTGAGGGTTTTTTTTGTGTGTGTGTGATAAGAATTTAATTTGTTCATTTATTTATCCCTTAATCATCCAGTTGCCAAAAGGCACCTTTATTTTTTACTTTGTCCTTTTTTATTCTCTCCCGAAACTGTACCCAATACTGCTACTTCAAATTGTACCTACTTCTAAGTCATTTTCTTATAGATGGTGCTCTAATCTTTGAGGACACTGTTTTAATGTTTTCATACTTAGGGTAACTTATGTCAACTTTGAACCTGGAGACAACTCTCCTTTTCTCTCTTCTTGGTTTATGTTGGTGAGGTACAGTGGGTTGTGAGCATAAGAGATTACTTCCTTGGAAATCCTTGTTTTCTCTTTTAACCTATGGTTATTTTGAAGTTTGGATAGTTTCTGTTGTCAGGTTATAATGAGGGTATAATTTTTAAGTAATTTTCTTTTTAAAATTTTTGTTCTGTTTTTCTTTTCTTTTTTTTTTTTTTTTTTTTTGCCATTTTGGGAGACACAGACATAGGCAGCTTCTATTGTTTTCAGTTACCAAGAAATTTTATCATGTTTCTTCATGCTATGATGATTACTGTTTGTTTTAGTTTGTTAATAATGAATAATTATATTGATTGATTTTCAAATGCTAAACGAAGCTTGCATTCTTGGAATAAACCCCACTTGTGCATGGTATGTTATCCTTTTGCTATATTGATGGATTCAGTTTCTTCATATTTTGTTTAGTATTTTTGCATTTAAATCAATGAGAATGTGGGTCTATAGTGTTCTTAATGCCTTCCCGTTCTTACTGTCTGATTGTTAATAGTATAATGCTACCTCAAGAGTTGAAAAATTGTTTCTCCTCTTCTGTTTTCTGGAAGAGTTTGTATAGAATAAGTATTATTTCTTCCTCAAATGTTTCGTAGAGTTCACTGAAGAAGACATCTGGGCCTGGAGTTTTCTTTGAAAGAGAGATTTAAACTACAAATTTATTTTTTAAAAAGTAGATATGGGGCTATTCAAGTTTATTAGTTTTTCTTGAATGTGTATGACAGTTTGTATCTTTCAAGGAATTTGTTCATTTCTTCTGAGATCTTATTGGCAGAAAATCTGTATGATCTTTACTGATCCCCTCTCTTTATTTCTAAATATTGATGATTTGTGTTTTTTTCTCTTGATTAGTCTGGCTTGAGGCTTGTCTGTTTTCATTGATTGTGTAAATGGCTTTTTGTTTCATTGATTTTTCTCTATTGTTAATTTTATATGTCAATTTCTTTTAATTTTAATTTTTTCTTCTGTTTATTTATCATGTAACTTTCTTCTTTTAAATAGTTGTATAAGGTAGAAACTTAAATAACTGATCTGATATCTTAGATTTAAGTCTGTTTTCCATCCTGAATTAATTTTAGTGAGTGGTGAGAGATATGGATCCTGTTTCAATTTTCTACATGTGGCTAACCAGTTTTCCACATGTGGCTATCCAGTTTTCCCAGCACCATTTATTGAATAGGGATTCTTTTCCCCCAGTGTATATTGCTGTGTACTTTGTCAGGGATCAGTTGGCAGTATCAGAATGGTTTTTTATGTGGGTTCTCTGTTCTGTTCCATCGGT